GACATACTGAGGAAAAGAGAATGATTTGACCCTGACTTTTTTGACCTCTTAACCTGTGAGAACTTTTCGCTCATCGAATGGAGCATGAAATTCTTTGGTGAAACGAACGATTGAAAAATCGATCTTTTTGTACATTCTTTGTCTATTTTATTCGATTTTTTAACAGATGTTTTGAAAAGACAGTACAGAGATCGATCTCCTAGATTTTAATTTTACAATCAAACGTCTTATACTTTTCTACACTTCTTCCTCGCCACAACTTCTAAATATTACAAATATTGTCAAAGAAAAAAAATATATCTTCTTTCTTAATACAGATCACAAGTCAGCGAGCTAAATATATCAATTTGTCGACAGAAGACCTGCATCAGATTCGTGCAGAATTTCTGAAGAACTTCCCAATTTACTGTTGAAGAACGTTTTTGGCAAATTACAGCGTTCCTTCATCTCTAAAGTTGTGAAGAATTTCTGTTTATTTGTCAAATCTGCACTACGATCCAAATTCGCAATATATTTATAAATATTCATAATATTTCATAGAAACTATTATCTTTTTTATACGCCTTTAATCCCAATAGTACAGATACATATTACCACAATTCTCCAAGTAGACATTGAGATTCAAATAAGTATTTATTAAAATATCGATAAAACATAAAGTGGGTTATAATGTTATAATTTTTTCTCTCTCTCACTCTTTACACAGACACACACACACACACACACATATATATATATATATGTGTGTGTGTGTGTGTGTGTGTGTATATGTGTGTGAATCTGTGTGTAAGCAAGATTTAGTTATAGAATTCAATCCTTACACCCAAAAGAGTATATAATTTTCTTACTTCAGCATGTTTCTTACATGGTGGGTTTAATTACTTCCCTGTCATATTATTTGCATTCCTTCATATAATTCACAGATAACATTAGATACATGAGAAGGAACATTTGTCATGCATAAATACACAATTCAGTCTTGTCCATGAAATCGCAATAGTACTAATTAGTTTAACGCCATCATAGTCCAGTAATGATTTGGTCGAGAAATTCCAGCCCATATCTCCACACTGTCACCTCCTTGCTGCCTTCTTTTAGCAAAAGGTACATCTAAATCGGATAAAATCCATCCTTTGATCCATCAGATCCATCGAGTGTCACCGAGATTCATCCGTGAAAATTACTTAAAAAAATTCAATTTGAATGTATTTCTTGGCCCAGTTTTGACTTCTTAAATATATGTTATATTGAGAGGAGTTTGCCTAGCAGATATTTTGACAGACCCCCAACTTGCGAAGTATTCTCCACCTATTGTACTTCTTAACTCCCTCAAATGCAACCTGTTCAAAGTGGTTGTTTCATTATAACACGCTTTTCTTTATGCTATTTTTATAGAAGACAAGTTCTTCAAGCCTTTTCCTTTGCTTCTAAGTTCTCAACTTAAATACATTTTCAGCAGCCCATTTTATCGTTCGATAATCTCTGCGAAGCTCCTTTGATAATCTTCAATATGGACAGACACTCAGTCAATAACTTTGTTTTTTTTCTATTTTTCAGCATTTGTTAGAATCTTTCCATTACACAATTTTCAGCATATATTTTGGAAAAAAGAAAAATAGTTTTTACTATATTTCAGAGGCCTTCAACTAGTTTAATCAGTATAATAACTTCAGATTGCAGTTTTTTGCGGGGAGGGGGTTAATAATCCACTAACTAATAAAACATAGTTTGAAAACTGTGTAATAGGTGTCAAGTAAGGTTTTTTTCTTATAAAATTATTGAAAGGATATTTGTGTGTTTATAAACGACACCTGAAATTGGTGTGTCGAGGTTTTGAAAAATGGAAAATGACCCAGAATTAAAGAGGAATGATGATTGACATGTGTTCTACGCAGGTGAAAATGCTAAATGTAAAGCGGAAATTTCATTTTCGTAACGAACAAATTTAGAGTTGATTTCTCCTGGTCGAAATTCGAATTGAAATACCAGGAGGGGGTGGATGAGCCAACCACGCCCACTGAGCAGGTTTAGTGAGAGGCAATGTTTGAAGTGAATAGTAAAGATGAGATAAAATGTCTTTAACAGTCATTCAGAAGATTTTGCTACGGTACTTGGATTTCCAATTCATGTTAGAGAAGCGGTCAAATATTGTCCATCTATTTGAGCAACATCAAATCTTCTTTCGTGACAATGCTGCTGTTAAAGTAAATAACATTAGTAAAACAACTCTGACTAAGTTCGTGGATCATTGCGTTTCGCGATCCGTTTGCAAATCCATTGTATTATGCCGATGTGTCAAGATTTTATACTTGAAGTAATAAGAGATGGGAAAAAAGGAGGGTGGGGAAAACAGTTGAGCAGTATCCAGGGATTTTTGAATCAGACGTTTTGGGACGAGTATACACTGTTTTTCCAAGAAGTGGGGACCTCTGTTACTAAGATTCCTTCTGCTTCATGTCAAAGGTCCAGTATTCTTCAACTCTTTAAAAAAAAGTGTCATCCAGAGCTCCTGCCATTATTCAAAGATGCCTGCAGAAATTAAGCTTTGTTTCAATCGGATGATCATTGGTAGAAGATTCTGGAAGATGATGAGCCAAAACGGCTTCCCAAAGCCATGAGAGATCTATTTATTGTGCTCCTCACAAATACAAAAATTAACAATTTCACTGCTTTATGGGCTCGGTTTAAGAATTCGCTCTTTGATGATGCCTTCTGTATTTTGAAAACAAACTTAATGACCTGTGCAAAAGCCTAAGTGACTTTAACTTGCCAATGACAAATAATATTGCCGCTAATAATGATATTGACAATTTGAAGTTATTGCATACAAGAAAGAGCAGCGATGATTTGTAGAAAAGAGGCAGCCTCTATTGAATAATGAGCAAAAAAGATGTGTACGGCTTCGTTTGTAACATTGATATTCATTGATGCTCCAGGTGGAACAGGAAAGACATTCCTGATTAACTTAATCCTTTCAAAATTCAGAAATGACGATGACGTGATTATTTCTGTAGCATCAACTGACATCACCGCAACACTGATGCCTAATGGAAGAACGACGCAAAATACCAATAGCAGTGAAAGAAAGGGAAAACATTGATAAAAACTCAAAGACGGCAAAACTCGTCCAGCATACAAGGCTGATTGTTTGGGACGAGTGTCCTATGATTGCAAGGGAAAGCTTCGAAGTTGAACTGCGTGATATATGTGACAGCAATGAGGCATTCGGTGGACATTTGACAATTTGCTCTGTAAAGGTGGGGGGGGAATGACGCAGAAGGTGGTAAACACGTGCATCAAAATTCCCTACATATGGCGAAGCTTCACAAAGTTTCAGCTAAAGACAAACATGCGATTGAGTGAGGGAACAGGAGACTATTCACAGTTCCAATTAGATATTGGAGAAGATAAGATTCCAATAAATGAAAATGAGGAAATTATTTTGCCAAAAGAAATGAATGTCTAAGCAACAACTATGAATTAATGAATGAATAGACTTCAGCTACCCACATTCGACAATCCAGCTGAACTATAATTCTGGGGAATGGTGCCAATGCCATTCATTTCCCGACTGAATTCTTTGATTCGGTTGAACTATCAGAACTGCCACAACTATATCCGAAATAGCTTTCTTGGGACTTTTCGTTCTTATTATAAAAACTGGAAAACGCTTGACCATTGAGGTTTTATTTGAACATCCGTGGTCTCATCAAACATAACACCAACAAATTATTTTTTTCGATTATTACCTTTTCAATTGTAGCAGCTATACAATTAATGACCTCGTTTTGAATATCACGTGAATGTCCAGAAAATGCGCAGTTGACATTTTTCTTCATGAAATATAAATGCTATCTTGAACAATCACCATGATTCGATACTGCTTCATATTTAACCAGAAAATGACCCTCATTGGTTGATCGTGAACTTGAAATGGTAATTCTTGACAGGCTCAAATTTACATACAATGAATTAAACTCCTCAATATATCATAATTTTTCTCGAGTAATCTATTATGTAACTGAATTGAAACTGCTTTCCAGTGATCAATCAATGCAACAATTCATTGTCGGCCAAAGATTTTCAGAGCAATTACAGAATTCAGACGGTTCTGAGATTTTGAGTGTCATGTCAAATCTGTTGTCAAACTGTTCAAATCGCAGTAGCCGGGAGCTTTCTACATATTCTTATGTTGAGAAAATAACAAAGATGGGAAAAATAACAATAATGTTAAATAAAAAACAGGAAAGTAAGAATGAAAACAACAAACTGGAGTAAACATTAAATTACAATAACGAAATAAAAAGAGGAAAAATGAATATAAAAATGAAGTCATTTTACTTACAAGGCAGGTGAATGTATGTAAAAGTCCCGTTGGAAATTTTGTCCTTTTTAGTTTCTAAGTTGAGAGGTAATTTATTTAAATCCATGACGAATGTTAATCAATGGAAATTTGTATGCGTTTTGCAATCGTAAAAGATGCTGTAGTGGTCTTTTTCTTTTATTCTTTTTTTTTAAGCGGTTATGAAAAAAACATAAACACGCTCACTTTAGCTGTGCACACAACCTTCTTTTATAAAAGAGCAAGTGAAGTGGAAACAATATCAATGCATTACGGTTCAGCTAACATTTATGTCAACATCAAGAAAGCAAAGAAAGTTTTCTCTTCATGCGTGTCGCTATTGATGACTTCTTATCTAAATTCATTCAATGGGTGTCCCGCACTATTAGACCAACATGTCTTTTTTTGATCCAATATTAACTTATCAAAGGAATTCCTGCAGGAGGCTACTGTTACTTTCTGCAGTAGACTACTTGCCAACCAAGGCTATAGAACCAAGTTTCTTCTGCTATTTAACCCATAGCTGTGAGGACAAGGGATGTATTAATACCATACTCAAGGCTATTTGCTTGTAAATGAATGTAACGAACTTGACTAGTACTCGAAGTCGGCTCTCCGATTTCTCATTAAAAGCCATTGTCCATTATACAATTCCAAGCTTACAACACCTGGTTGTCCCAAGTGGTCACCCTTCTAGGTACTGACCAGCCTCAACGTTGCTGAAGTTCGGTGACCTGACTAGAACCGGTGTTTCAACGTGATATGGCCATAATCATATTTAAATTAAAAACCGAATTTTAATTCTGGGAAAAATTAAAAACGGAATTTTAGTCGAAAAGAGAACTTTCTCTAAATTTATTTAACTATACTTTCTAAAAATGATAATTCATTTATTGTAATGATAGTTTTTATATAAAATTTCCTTTATGCTCAACAATGGAGACAGAGTGTTTGTAGATATAAACAGTAGGAATATAGAAATCAACACTGCATAGAGACTGTCTGTCTAAATCATAAATGTGTTTAAAGATCAAGTATATACCTTTGTTAACGTTTTACTTATTTAATATTTTCTGTATTTCGTACCATTTTCCTGGTTTCCAGCACATATTTAAATAAAAAATTGTCCAATATTTGACTACTTTCAGATTTCATAAGCCATTATCTAAACCTTTCGTTTTTGAGCAATGTCATTTTCATTATTTAAAAAATAACGCGTCTACACGTGGCAACACGTATTATGTTGTCTTTTAATGAAACATAGGGTGAGATGAATAAATTGTCGTCTATATTACACAAAAATGAAAATAATACTGACATCTCAATATATCAGTTATATTTACCAAAATTAGACAAATATATCTTGAAATACTAAAGAGTACATTTATTCAATAAAATTGCCATTGGCTTCAACTACGGAGTCCAGATGACTTTGGAATCTCCTGTAACTCTTCTGGGTGGTCTTCTTGTTTCAGTTGGCGAATGCTGCCATAATCTTTGCCTTCAATTCATCTTTGGTGTTACAAGGAATTTTGTTGGTCTCTCACACTAGTGCGCCCCACACATAATAATCAAGGGGGTTGCAGTCTGGCGAGATAGCTGGTTAGACGTAAGAAGTGATGTGGTGGCAGAGATTATCTGACAGCTATTGCTGGGTTTTCTTGCTTATGTGGCACGGTGAAGAGTCTTGTTCCCAGACATAGGATCTTCCAGCAGCCACCTTCTTGACACAGGGTAGTACTACCTACACAAGGCGCTTAATGTAGGCCTCCAGTCGGAAGATAAATGGAGTCATAATGTCGACATCACTAGTGATCACTCCGAACACCATGATGTTGACTGGATATACCATCCAACTCTTTCCGAATCCTCTGCACTGTCCTCAGATTGAAACTTAAACACTTTGAAATGTTCGTATTGGATCTTCCGGCGCGAATGCCAAGCAGTACAACAACATGCCGTTTCCAAATTTCTGGAGGAATGAATTTTGTCTTGATGCTCTTTTTCTAAATTGACCCTACTATCCTGTGCAAATCGACAAAATCAAAGACAAACATACACATGTGCGAACTTTAAAATATAAGATGTCGAGAATTTACCCATCGCACCTTGTATTTTCCGTATGTTTGATTCTCAGTTTGACAACATTTTGTCTATATTGGTTTATTAGGTTGGCCAGAATGTCCTGACTCACTTAGAAAGTAGAATGAAAACAACAACATTTTATGGAGCAACACCAACATTCATTCTTCAAAATAAAGTCCCTCATTCTCGACGATCTTCTGCCAGCTATCAAGATAGCATCTGAATCTGTTCTAGATACCCAGTCCACTGGCTTTGAATAAAATACTGTAAACAAGCTTCCTTCAATTCATTAAAAGTGTTGAATCGCGAAGAAATTGGGCAGAATAGGCCATAGTCACTTGGAGCAGCATCGAATGGTGGATGTGGAAGAATTTCAACACCATCCATCTGTCTAGATAGATAGATAGATAGATAGATAGATAGATAGATAGATAGATAGATAGATTTTAAAATGCGTTCAGTAGATTATTTGCAAGCACGTATATGCCTATATGTGTCCTTGTGTGTGCTTGCAGTGAATAAACATATGTTTGTGTATGTTTGTGTATGTCAATTATAGCTCGTATAATGTTACATAAAATATACAGTCCACCATATTGTAAAACTTTTCCTGTGTGTATTTGCTGTGAATAAACATATACATGTAGTTATGTGCGTATATATATGTTCCTGTATGTCATTTATATCGATGATGATTTGCAACAGTGTTGTATGTTGGGCAAGTTAGCCTGATCAATCCAAATCGTCTCCAGTCTGACTTGAATTCAAAGTGTTCTTTCTCCTAGACTGGTTGCCAATCAAGGCTATAAGTCTATGTCTTCCCTGCTATTTAACCATACGTGGGGGAAGAGGATATTTACGCGTAAATCAATGTAACGAACTCGACTGGAATTCGAACTCGGATCTCCGATGTTTCATTGCGAGCCGTATATAAAGATGTCTAAAATATACAAGCTGCCATAGGGTAAAACATTGACTGTCGATCAATGGAATTTTCTTTTTCAAAAAATGCCTTTTCATATCTATAATATTGATCCAACGTGGCATCCAAAAATATACAAAAATATTGCACAAACCTTCATATTCTAATTACTATTTGATGAGAAACTATTTCTATCCTACTATTACTTTGGACGGTACTATTTTCTTCTGCTCCCCTTTGAGACATCACAATGTGACATCCCATCAATGAAATATCTAATTCATCTTCCCTGGTTGGCGACTCCATTTATTTCCTAGGTTCTTGTTTCTCAGATTCGTCGGAGTGTACCGGGGCTGCTTGGGTTGCCCTTCGTAGCCGCCTGTTATCACTGGGAATATTATCCATTCCTGACTATTCGTTGTCCTAAGGTGTTCAGCATGGGCCTTAACTACTGAGCTATTTAACTGATCCTTAATCTTATAAGATACTGGACCAGTCTTAAATACATAATACTGCCGCCACCTCATGTCTAATTTGCTCCGCTTATGATAGTTTCTATAATAGACTCCTACTTTCAAGTCTACGTCGTTAGTTGAAATATTAGACCTTTCTATGTGTCGTTTCTTCAAACTATTCCTAAAAAGTGTAAATGCGCGGTGTTGTTCCTGTAATGCAATATTGTCGTGCTCATTTCCATAATAAAGACGACGTGGTTTTAAGATATTGTTTTACGGCAGAACAACATCTCTATTATAAAGTATATATTACGGTGAGTATTTTGCCGACTCGCTAACGTTAAACCTAATTGCCACTTGCATCTGCTTAATATATAAATCCCATGGTCTATCATTATTACTAATGTTTTTGTGATAAAATATCGTGCATCGTTCTATGCAACCCTTCTACATTATTTACATTATTCAGACTATTATCCTCATCTTTGTCGCCATATTTATCACAACGTTTCGGCCGTTTACGCTCCGGCCTTCTTCAGGTGGTTGGAATGTCTAACTTAACCCTTTATTTCGCTCACTGGGGTAGACTGTTCTAGTTCCACGTGCCATGTTTGATGGATGTCAGTTATCTCCTGTTAATTTCCCTCTGAAAGTTCTCCACTGCCTTAACCGGGTATTGAACTCACACTCTTTGGGTCTTGTCGCTGGATCTAACCAACGCCTCAATGACACATGGCACAGTGGAACATGGCACGTGGAACTAGAACAGTCTACTCCAGAGAACGAAATAAAGGGTTAAGTTAGACATTCCAACCACCTGAAGAAGGCCGGAGCGTAAACGGCCGAAACGTTGTAATAGATATGGCGACAAAGATGAGGACAATAGTCCGAATAATGTAAATAATGTACATAATACCTCATCTCAGAAATATAGACAGGAACCCTTCTAGCTTTTTTTAGGGTACTATAACGATATCGTCACGTGGAGTATATTTAAATCTTCTAGCGTCTCTTTGATAACTTTATTAACATTCTCTGTGTTGCTATCTGTTACTAATTGAAGAAGAAGGCCAAATTTAGGGAATATTTCATCTACTAATAAGTGGGCGATCGTCTGAGCCTTCTTATTTGCTACAGCAAATGCTTGAGTACATATCAATGAAGGTTACTATATACTAGTTTCCTGTTTAAGTTTTTAATGTCGTATTTTATAAAAACATATTTGATTTTATTTGTGATTTTGTAGAACCAAGAAATACACTCACTTATGTCCTTTTATTGATTGGCCTGTGTGGCAATTCTTAATGAGTCACGTATTCTTTTTTCAATATATCTTAGCTTCTTTTACCAGTTCAGTTTTAGTTGGGTTTATTAGATAAAAAGAAGAATTATTGGGGAATTCATCTTTATCGTCCTTTATGGCTAGAAATGCTTGTTTGAAGCAAATTATGTGGACCCTGCCGTTTATCCTTAGTTTGGAACTGATATTTTTCGCCTCCTCCTTTATAGTTTTAATGTAAATGTCTGGTGCTTCTTTGCAAATTTTTGTGACTTCTTCGCTTATTTTTTCCCTTGCACCCAACGTCGTGCGTTTGCTTATTTTTTAAATAATATAGCGTTCATTAGTTTTTGTTTTGTTTTTTTAAGTAAAGCGTTAAAAGGTCATTTGATAAAAATCGCCTGAGGCTACAGTAAGCTTGAAACAAAAGTAGCGGATTAAACTAATGTCCTGATTTTTTTTATTATATATATATATATATATATATATCTTCGGTTGAGGACTGTTGAAAGATGGGCGAATTCTATACGCAGCAGCTGTTAGCTCTAACGCATCGCTCTTCATTAATGAATAGAGCACTCTAGCTGTCTGGCATTTTTTTTTACATTCGTAAAAACAATACGCTAGAATTCGTCTTTCTCTCCACCGAGGCGCCGGTGGCTTGAGAGTAGAAATTCCGACTAATGCCAAATCGGTCTGTTTTCGATTCTAGATTGAAGATTTCAGTGGTCTTTATCGCACTGATGAGCAGCGAAACAGTCCTGTATGCGAATTATATATATATATATATATATATATATATATATTTGAGTCGCATATGTATGAATGAGGTCATAAAATCCAGACCAATTCCTAATGATGTGTTTTTTATTTTTCACATTTGCAGTCTGTTCATAGATTTTATAAACTTCCTTCTTAAACTATTGTTTTGTATCGCTATTTAAAATGATTTTATATCTCAGTTATTGTAGATTTTACTCTAAATCAAACACAATTACCGATTCGTTGTCTTTCTGGCTTTTTTCTTTGCAGCTTTATATTCTTGGTTCTTTGACGCTTCGGCTCATCAGTCGTTGATTATTGTGGCTTTTGATTTCGATCTCTATTAGAATAACATTTTGTGGAACATAATTATCAATTCATTGGCAATCAAAAGCCAAAAGACAATCAGTTTAAGACTGATTTTATGTATTCCTTTGTTTTATGTCTTTTGGCCTTTATAAAGTTGACTTATTTTCATTAGTTTTGATCGCTATTTAGAAATGATTCAATTGGCAAAAGAATGTTTGATGCTTACGCGTATATCACTCATGACACATTCATACTTTCGATACATGACTGACGAGTCAGATTTTTCCCGCAGTAGGTTGCCATTTCTTTCTGCGGTAGACCAGTTGCAATCCATGGCTCTAGCATCCGGTCTGTCCGACTATTTACCCATATCTGGGGGGAGGAGAATAGAATTCATACCTTTCACAAGGGTATTAGCACGTAAGTGAATGCAACTCGGCTCTCCAATACCACTATTCATTACTCAACCGTACTATCGGAAAATATCAGTTGAATTTTTTGTTTTGTTTTGTTTTGTTTTTGTCGCTCCTCTTCAATCAGGGAATTTATATGAAGTACACTTAATCTGTCTGATCCCCATATGGAAGTTGGGTAATAACGAATGATTAGCTTATTGATTTCTTTTTCAACGTACGATTCGAATTGTGGAAATAATGAAAAATGTAATCTGATTAGATGAATTAGTTTACCAAAAACTTTATCAATATTCAAAGAAGGTCAAAATATTTCTGTACACTTTCTCTGTTCGTGACAAGTTATATCAATAAACTAGATATGACTTTGTTTTTTTAATTTGGATTATTAATCATAAGTCGAACAAGAAGTTGTTAACGTAAATTTCAGCTCAAAACGTTTCCTGATTCTGTAAAGAATGAAATCTTGACTATGAGATTAAGACGTGTAATTAAATAAACGTTCAATATATGACTGACACTTAAGCTAAATGTTGAAGTGAATGTGTTTTTTTTTTCTTCTTTATAAATTATTCTTCTGTGGTTATTCGTAGAATTTGCGTTTTCGTTGCATGTAAACGAGCCCACTTGAAAAGATGCAGGCCACGAATAAAGTACCGGAAATAAAATAAAAGATAACGTCGAACAAAGAACCTGAAATCAAAAAAAGTATTTAAAATTGAGCATTTTTATATACATAAGGAATTTATACAACGCACGCAAAACACAGAAAACTGAATAGCTTTAAAATTCCAACAAAATATTTACTGAGGAAGAGTTATTTATTTTCTGTAGGCAATACTTATAAGTCAGATTTGTATATTTTTAAAAAAGTGTCTTTGAGACACATCATTCGCAAAAAGGATATGAAAATAGCTCTGTCGTTTCAAGTTGGCCATGCTTCAAAGTCATTGAAATTGGGTCATGTTACGATTAAAGTACGTAATGAAAGACAAAAGTAACTATTTTGAATACGATTCAGTTGTTTTGTTTTTACGGATTATCAAACATTTGTGTTACTTAAAGCCAAAACATATTCTTAATGGTAAGAATAAATCTTTTTTACGAGTGTACATTGCATTAAAAAAATCTTTTAGAATAACAGTGATTTTTTCAGATCTATGACCTACTATTTAACCCATAGGGGTGGATAATCGATTCATATTTTTCCGAAAGTATTCGTGCGTACGTGAACGTAACGATTCCAGCTGGAACTCAGTTGCCTGATTATTCCTTCCAAGCCACAATTCATTATACAACCTGCATATCCTATCTTTAATTGACATGATATCTTGATAAAATATCTTTATATATGATATCTTCATAAATATGGATATTAATATATCTTTATATTATATCTTTACGTAGGACATCTTGATATATATTTTCATATATCGAGATATATCTTGATATAAGATATCTTGATATAAATAACTTCATTAGATATTTTATGATATCTTCATATGATATAATGATCTTTATATGATAACATAAAATCTTTATCTTGACATCATATTTTTATTTCATTCATAAATTGGCTTGTTATAGTTAAGGAAAGCTTTACAAATAGATGCCAACTTGTTGAAGACCAAGTAAAATGCAAATTTCAAACACTTTTCTGCACTATATTAGACGATATTCGTAAACATAACTATTTTTAGAGGAAAATCAAAAGAATCCTCGAATAAAAGATCAGTAATGAAGGACAGTTAATTAATGAAAAAAATGAATTAAAAATCAATATGCAAATTGGTTACACCTGAAGAATGATATTGCCTAGAAGTAGATAATGTATAATACAGATATTTAGCGCTTCGTACGTACAGTGTTCTCTCGAGTAGTTTGCAGGGTCTGCGGGCAATTATTTATGCAGGAAAGATCGGGCACCCACCTTAAAAACTGACTTTGTGACAGAAGTCATTTTAGTGGGGAGAGAGAGAGAGAGTAAATACCTAGTTTCTCTAAATTGCTCTCTCAAGTAATTTGTAACACATTATTTATCATCTCTCAGTGTTTTCTCTGTCTTTGGGCAGAGTTTGCTCATGGTTGTTTCCGTCAAAGGACAGGGTCACAACGGAGGAAAATTATACTGAAGAGGTGCCCAGCCCTGGAGAACAGCTGCTCGTGACCGCACCCTCTCATTACACGAGAGAGAGGGATCAGTGCTCGCACCGAAGCCAGCGCAACCGACGGTTGCAGGGTGTGCGGGCAATCTCCCGATCTTTACACTTTATTAAGTTTATTTTAAAAATTCTCCCCTCTTCCGTCACCCTTGAAATAAAAATAATTGTTACTACAGAAAATAAGGATCTACGTACATCAAATCGTCTTTAAATTAAGTAGCAGCTGAAGAATTATCGTTGAACTTTTAAGAGGTAAGCTTAAACCTTGATTCAATACTTAAATGCAGCGATCAATTTTGAGTTCTTCTGTAGTTTATTGATGCCTATCGCATCTACTCCTCACTAGCTATTGTGATGATGGCCAAAGCAAGAGACCACCACTTCAGCTAGCTTTAATGCCGCCTGATATGGCGTCTTTTAAGCTAGCTTAAAACTTTAGCTTTGCTTAAAATTTTAAGCTAGCTGCACTTTTGGATAGAAAAGTAAAATAAGAGTCATTCCCCTTGAACCATGAACGCAATAATAATGACTAGTATAACATATTAATATATATTTTTAGCCTCGCATAATCTGGCAATCCTAAATCTCAACAAGCTCAACGAAAATCGTTCCCTGTGGGAGCGGAGGACACACACACGTACACTGTACTTTATATATAAGATAACTTTCATTGGCTCTTCCATGCAAGAATTGGTCTACTTCGTCCGCAACGCCATCATCGTAAAGGAAGTTATCAGAAAAGAAATTCAATTCTCGGATACAAGATAAAGATGACGACGATATAACTTTATATGTTGTTATAACAATATAATATTATATGATCTTTTTATATGAAGTCAAGATGGTTACAACTACGGCCTGCAAATATAGAATTATATTTATCCTCTACGTATTCCATTAATAAGAATTGATTTAAAAAGTCATTTGAAAATGCGTCGAGGTTATAAAAAAAATGAATCCATGATTTCAAGTACCTGCGATTATCGTATCGATAATGTAAGTCAAACCCATCAAAAGACATAAAGGAGAATATCCTTTGGTCAGGTTTTTCACTCCCAAAATTGACGACACAAGCACAACTCGAAGAGGACAGGTAAATCCTACAAATCAAAAGAAAAGCAAAAGTAACTAAATACGACATATCTACGTGTCTAACAGACGAAACGTTTTGACTAAAATGTTATGCTTTACACGTTTTTTTCGTTATTAATAGTTTATTACTAATTGTTTTGTAGCTTGGATTAAATAAGCAGTTTAATCAATGAAATGATAATCTGATTTTATTGAGAAAAACTATTAACCCCTTAATGTAGAGAAATGAATAATTTTTAAATTCGGTCTAAATTCTTGCTATTCGATGATATGGCTGTTACACAAGAATTATTTTAATTTCAAAAGAAGGGTAAAACATTGGTTTCCTGGAAGTTTTGAAGTTAATCTCTTATTCTGGTGACATAGGAGTACACACCACTTCAATGGAGAAGGAACAGAATTGACGGCTACAAGGTTTAAAACATAAAAGAACAAAGGGTTTTAAGAGGCAACAAATTAAAACAATCCTCAACATTCAAATGTTCATAATATTCTAATGCGACAGATGCCCTGAATAAATATCAATTGCACAGCAGATAGAATTTTATTGAATAAAAAGAAACAAATGAAAAGCTGTTAAGAAACGATCATAATATAATTCTTCTTCATCTATGTGCCGTGTCACTTCATAACGTTGGCGGTTAGGGTTCTCCACAATTTCTTTTTCTGTGTTGTTCTTAATAAATTTTGTCTTTTAGTTATTTCTTCTCAAACCTGTTCTGCCATCCATTTACTCAAATTTACTAGGTAGGTTATGCATTGTTTTCATCACATTTGCCATGCCAACTTTTCTCTTTTTCTGCCCTGGAAATGTCAACTGTCTCTTTCTGATGTTGAATATAAATGACCTTAATGTTTCCATTTTCTCTCAAACTTTGTCGTTATTTACATGCTTCGTCCATGGTATTCTCACTATCCTTCTGTAGAACCACATTCGTTGCCTCAAAACTGTTTTCATTTGTGAGAAGATTGTCCAGTATTCGTTGCCACTTAGAAGGACAGATATTTCGTAACAGTTCAGTACTCTTTTCTTTGTTTCTAACGAAGCTTTTCTTTTTGTTTGTTAATATTCTGCTTAGACTTTGGACGGCACCATTCGTTATGCCAATATACTCCAAGTTTTCAGTGTCATACTTTCCGTCTTTTGTTAAAGCACTTCCAGATATTTAAATTGTCATTATCTCCAATTTGTAGTTTGCATTTTGGGTTGTTCCTTCCGCTAACAACAATGCGTTCTAGCCCCTTGCAACTGAGTTTTAGTCCTTTTGTTTTCGTTTTCCTTCACTAAATTCTGTAGGAGTTCTTTAGTTTTCTTTCTGTATCTGATACCAACTCTGTGTCATCTATATATCTAATATTGTTAAAATTGTGGCCGCCAATAAGGAATCCTGCTAGGAATACTAATTCTCTCAGAATCGCCTCACTATATAGGATAAGTCCGGTGAGAAGACACACCCTTGTCTTACACCCCTTTCTATTTTTGTATGTTCACTGAATTTATCTTATATCCGTGGCTGTTCGTATAGATTCTGGATTAGTCTAATATTCTTCTCAAATATGTTAAGATTACCTAGCAGTTGCAGCAATTCTTTATGACGTACCTTATCAAATGCTTTTACGTAATCTAAAAAACGCATGTATACATCTTTTTGTATTTTTATTGTTCTTTCTGATATCATTCTGAGCATAAAAAACACATTCTTTTTTTAACGAACCTGTACCGTTCTGGTTTAATTTCTGGTCTAATTCTGCTACAAACTCCATTCATCAGATTTCGGATGTTAAGTTTTGTTATGCAACTCATTAAACTAATTGTCCCATCGATTTTACATTCGTTTGCACTTGGCTTGTAATGCGATGCTAAGAACGTGAACATTATATAATTAGAATATTTAAACTGATGAAAAGTGGAAAGCTTTTCTCGGATGCGAAACTCTCAGAAAGATATATTTCAGACAATATTTTAAATAAAGCGTTCATTTCGACGCACATTTTGTTATAAAATATGTGCTCAATGCTTTACATATTTTAGCAGTATTCAAATCCCCCAAAATATATGGAGGCATGGGAAATAGCGGCTCGGATAGAGAAATCGGAGAGTCGAGTTCGAATTCCAGTCGAGTTCATTATATTCACTGACACAAAGTATGATACCATCTCTAGCCTCCTGAGCTATGAGCAAATAGCAGTACAGACTGGGTCCTACAGCCCTGGGTGACAACTAGTCTAGAAGATGGCAACACACTGAATTCAAACCCATCCTGGAGAAGATTCGACTCCGTCAGGATATTTTGCCTAGAACGAAAAAAAATCACTGCTCGTGTAGTTGTAATACATGTGGTGCCTCTACAGCCCTTTTACGTGTTACGATTCTCGTGTCTGCGTGACAATATATTGAATATGTGATAATTATATGTATTATTTTTCGGAATAATTCTTTTGTTTCCTTCTTACGACATTTCAGAGCAACTATAGATTCAGGCATTATTTATCTTATAATTTTAAAATGATTAATATTGTTCTGTTGGGCATGCACATTTCTTTCTAGCTACAACACATCCGACATCTTCGCATTTCTATTCTATTCAACGACACTTGGTATCTACGCTCGCTTTGGCTAATTGCATGGTTTGAATCTAAAGCGTGTGTGCTGATTTGTAGGGTAATTAGCCAAAGAAAGAATAGAAACATGGCGAATGAGACCGTGAAATGTCGCATTTTATTGGTTAAGAAAAATCCCAGCATTTTATTGATTTGAAAGAACTCCCTGAATGTCAGTATGATTTGTTTCTAAATTTGTGAAGGTGATGTTTTTTGCAATTATACCCATACACATTTGAACCAACATGATTTCTTCAATACTGTATCGTAATATTCTTTTTTTTTTTACTAATATTTACCTAATACAAAGCCCAAGGGCCACTCAAGATAGAGGGTTATTGTGTGAAGCTGTATTGGTGTAAGAAGGAGCAAGAAGTGAAATTCTTGGCGCCATGCAGATAGATAACAGCTAATACTAGACTTGAAGATGTCAAGATATAATTAGTACCTGAAAATATAATTAGAAGTATAGAGTAGAAGTAGACTTTAGAAGGAACCGGAAATCCAATCCTAAACAAGTGATAAACCTCTACTCGTGCTCAAAAAAGGGCTGAGAGTTAAGCGACTGAAAACTAGAAAGAAACAATCTATAAAAGAATTAATCCTTAAAAGAAAAATAACAGTAGAACGTCTTCTTCGGACAAATATTATAAAGTAACTTACTTTGCTTCGAAATACTCACCGTGGCAAATGGCGAACAGAGATGCACATACGACGAACAAAGAAAATGAGTGGCAGAATGTAAAGCTTAAAGAAAAGGCTGACATGCCAAACAAGGAAGCCATCAGAAGGTAACTTGTAGGAATGTGAAGTAGGTCGGCAAGTATTCCAGCAACAATTTGGCTAAATGCAATAACTGCACCGTAGATGGACATCATCAAAGCTCCTTGTTCCCGCGTGAGTCCAGTATCCACAGCTTTTGCAGGAAGATACGTCATAACACATTCGCCCGCTGACAGAAAAATTACAAATGCAAGAATTCTACATTGCATAGATTTTCTTGTGATATACTTTTACAATTTACATACGGTCATTTTATTCAAAATACAACGTTTGGAAACAATTTAAAGCACAAAAAATTATATATTTTCTAGAATATCTTATAGTTTTTAGGACATTTTGAAACGTACACTTTTATACGTTTTTATCACAGACATTCATCTGAAAAAAATAAGCTGACGTTTCCACATTTTGTTTCTATTCTGTGATACATTTATTTTGAAATGAATATAAAGAATCAAATAAAAAAGATTTATCCATATATTCCCGATTAGAAATTGGTATTTGATCACATGTAAAAATGTATAAGAACGATGAAAAGCCACCTTATAAACTAAGGCGGACATCAGCAGACACAATCAAAAAATAACCTATTATTAAGTTCGACCAATGAAATGTGTTGACGTCACACTTGTGACATTAACATATTTCATTGGTCGAAGTTAATGTTCGTTTAGTTTGTTTATTGTTCTGTTGGTGTTTATTAAATAGGAACACTCAATGTATAAACAGAAAGAATCTGTTAAAATCTGGCAAAATTGCATGTCTGACTTAAAATATTTTATTGTGTTAAATAACAAAAAATCATGATTTTGTAAGCGTTAATTTAAAGGAAGAAAACAGAAGCAAGGTGATGTGCCGATTGTTTTTAGCGTGTCTAATAAAGGTTGCCATAAGAGGATATTTCAACGACTTTTCTTAATACGAGCAAATATATGAAGTAATAACGGTTCCGCAAAATATGGCAACACAACATCGATCGAAGTTGATTTTTACATTAAGCAAATAAATACATTTAAATAATAAGGACTATTCAAACGAGGATAATTAGTTGTGAAGATTTATTTTATGTTAAGCTTTCTCAACATGACACATCAGACTCAATGTTATTTAGGGTTGATTTCCGAATCGCATTTCAGAAAAACTAACTCTTTGCATGACATATATTAATCAAAATACAAATTGCATATTTATTTCATTGGTGAACATTTACGAAAACATTTTTAGATGTCTTGCATTTTAAAGTCTTTCCTACCTAAATTGATAGTTTTATGCTCGGAAATTTTCTGTCACGTCAAGTTTTATTTTGTTAAACAGACTTTCATTTTTTAGCCAAAAATGTCAATTTCGCCCTTAAATGCAATACTGAAATAAGAAACAAACACAAACCAAAGAGTACTTCTTATTGTTTAACAACTATATTATACACAATAATTGCACATCTTAGGATAGATATTTCTCCAAAATTGGAGTTTCAGCTACTCAAGAAGTGAACTTTCTCTCGGCTGTTTTGTGTGAATAACCTGCATGGAAACAGTCTTTTTGCAGACACCAACAGTAGTCATCCATCATGTTTGTGATCCCCCTGCCTTGTTCCCTAGACTAAATGGTCTTGATGTTTTAATGGAATCTTTCTACTTGCTAATCAAACATTACGACAATATGTCCAGGGAAGTAGTCTAGATGGCTGTGCAGGTAATGCCATTTTACATTTATGTTGAATCCCAGTACTCGAAAACTGGTTAACAGATAAAACCTTCCTGGAAATTACCAGCGGCCTGTTTAAAACATTATTTTATTTAATTTTGAACTCCCTACTGTCTGACCATGTCTTTCGTATCCAACCGTCATTTTTTTTTGCTCGACTGTCCCCAAAACATGAGGATACTTGGTACAACCATCTTGCACACCAAGACGCAATTCAGTTACTTTCAGGTCCCTTTATATAGTCCAGTTTTTTCTCCTCATACAGCACTATTTTCATACAGTCGTAATTTTCCTTCACTATTATAAGATGTACAATTAGTATAGAAGCAAACATATTGTCATCAGGCGACAGAACAATTTAGCTTTTGAGCCATCTTTGAAAAGTCTGCAGTCATCTGGATTTACACTTCATATCCCCAATGAGGACTTTAACATCATTGTAATAAACAGAATCATCACCCATGTTGAAGAGTGGAAGCAAATAATTCTCTTGTTGTCTACAGAACGCAAATTTTTTTCCGCAGTGCAAGCAGGTTCTTTTCTGTTAAACGGGCTCTAAGCAGCTGGCCACTTTCTTTGATATATCTAGATCACAAATTAAATCATTTAACTCTGCTGGTGTAAAAAGTCTTGTCACAGCTTCCTATCCCTCATAGTTCTCGTCTTCCATGTTACCAAACTCCATCTTCTAATTATCACCATCACTACCATCAACAAAGTACATGTGTTCTGGTGTTGTCCAAGTCGAATAGCGGATGGCAGATCTGGATAAACTCTGACACTTAGTCTTAGAAGTGAAGCCAGACATATCAATCATGCAAAAGTAGGTTTCATCATTATGATTTTGTGGTTCCTTTCCCACCATGGAAATTCCAAAGCTTAAGTGATTTCTTTGCCCCCTTTTCCCACTGTCTCAGTGATTCAGCACATGTTTTATCCACTATATGAGGTGCCTAAATTTTGTCTTGATCACCAGTTTCATGTCAAAGTAAGTAAGGTATGATTTCTTCACAAAATCTATGATTTTGTTTCGTTGACTAGGTAAAGTGTAACATCCACAAGTATTTCACAAGACACCGGCGCTGTTTTTGAATTTAGCCATATTTAATAAAAACAAAACACATATTCAAAGCGGTTGTTACCTGGGAAAACTATTCTCAGAATTGTCAATCCTTATAAAGTAACCAAATAATAGGTTTTTGTTAGCAAAGTTCTATCATGAACATACATACCATAAAATTCTTTCTACAGTTTTTTGACCATGCTTGACAAAAAGTAACCTTGTGATCTCACAATTAGAACATTAAGAGTGCATTCAAAATACCAATTTTCCTAAGATATAGTTAAAGGTTAAACATGTCTCGGTTGGTTTTCAATGATAGTCACACTAAATCAAGCACAGCGAAGGAATATCTGCAGACAAATATGGAAGATTCCACAATTATTAAACGGAAATAATGTCAAAGACCACAAAAATGTGTCGTTTATCATCATCCAATTGTATAAAGGACAGTGCTGTCATAATGACATTTAAAACTGGTTAGATTGAAAATAGTGAAAGTTGCTTAAGTTTGATACTTTTTTATTTACTGAAGAGATTTAAATCATGACTTTTGTTTTCATTTTTGTCGTATTTGTTTTAAAACTGTTTTCAAAATTATGTCAAGCTCCCTACATAGGTCAGCATTTGATGAAACAAAATCTGTCTTTAAAAATGGGTACAATACGGATTACCCGTATTGTTGAATATGTGACAATTGAGTTTGTGAAAAATCTTGGCGTGATGGATTAATTTTTTAAAAGCAGCACCCCAAAATTACAACGAAACATTTATCCAACATCATACATGAAAATGCAACGTTATTTATTACTACAGTATATTAACGAAATTGTATTTTACAAGTTTATCATTTATTACTAGTTCTGTAACTTACCTGTCCAAAAAAAGTAAACAGTTAGTAGCAATTGCATGCTGGGATTTTTCATGACATCAGGATCAAATATGGTTAGGCGTAGGTGATTTAATTTACTTGAAATATTATTAGACATATTTGTTGGTGGTTTCTTTTCTGAATGATTACGATGTTCGTTAGAATTCTTTATCTGAAAATCAAGATGATTGCCTTTTATGAAAAATATTATTGATCAAGACGATACTCATTTATTAGTCTGCATTACACAATTTCTTAACTAGAATTTCTAAAGAAGTTATGTCTTTAGTTTTCAGTGACAGTTACTACTGTGCAGATCTTTTATCTTTATTTAAGATAAGATCTTTAATTTAAATAAATTGAAACTTTAATATAAATGATTTCGAAGTTAAAATATTAATGATGAATTTCAGTACTAAAGCCACATAAATAATGCCTGTTGACCCGTCAAGAAAGCCTCGTAAATGCGCCATCATTATTTGAACATTAATGAAAATGTCTGGTTCTTTCTGGAATCAGGCGTTCAATTTAATTTGAACTTTAAACACTTTTACCAATCTATTTATTTAGTGCAGCGTCCTGATCATGGGATCAAGGTCTCGAATCATTTTATAGTTGAATTGTCAATGCGGTGAGTTCTTGCTAATATAAAATCCGAGAACCATGCCACAGTTTCCCAGACAATCATTGTCAGTGAAAATTGTTCAGAATCGCCAATGGTAGTGCTAGAATGAAGGGTTTTGAGAAAATTGGACTTGTTCAACTATTGGTCATACCAGTTTATGTGTGTCTGTGTGTCTGTGTGTACGTGTTGATTTAACTTAGCTTCGTTTTGCACAAGTTCAAAATACAGACACTTTGTGAGAATCAAACTGACAGTTGTAATGATTTACTAGATTAGGTTGCTAGACATTACTTTGAAACAAGACGTCCATATTGATAATTACTAAAGCGATATTTATATATATTTATTTCCTTATAATTTGTTTATGATCTCTAGTCAATTTTTCATTAAATGTTTCTGTAAAATGCCTCGGTCAAAAGCGAATGAAAAAAAGAAAAGAAAGAAACATTGATATTTATGTTTGTCAGTTTTTCGATAAATGATTCTATAAATGGACTCGATTAGGAGTAAATGAAAAAAGAAAGAAACAAACAAACAAAGAAAAAACAAACAAACAAACAAACAAACAAACAAAAGAAACATTGATATTTACGTTTGTCCCTTCTTTATATTCAATCGGCTTTTCGTCTGGATCGAACTCTGATTCCGGTTTTAGCAGAAACTCATTCATAGACTTTAATTTGATTTCTGAAATGAGACGCTTTCTATAAAACTTACAGAATACAGTTTAAACAAAGCAAAATAAGGAGAATATTACGAGACAGGAAAATCTCGTTGGAAACAAAGAAAAGTGTATTCAAGTGATATCTGTCTTCCTGTATGACAGCAAATGCTGGACAATATCAAAAGATGAAGATGAGACTTGAAGCAACAAAAATGTTCGATATAAATATGCTGAGAACACCATGGACCGAACATGTGAACAACGACAAGGTTTTCGAGAGAATGAAAACAAAAAGGAAACTGATACTTTACACCAGGAAGAGGCAGTTGAAATTTCTGGGACATGTAATGAGGAAGGAACGCTTAGAAAACCTGATACTCACAAGGCTGAGGGGAAGAAGAACAGAGGAAAGTAGTATGTAACGTATTTGATGAACCGAAGATGGATGGTAGAACAGGGTTTGGGAGAAATAACAAAAAGACAAAGCTTATCAAGAACTAAAATGTACAGGAAGAATTGGAGGACCATGGTTGCCTACGTCCTGAAGGGACACGGCACATAAAAGAAGAAGAAGATCTTCTGTCTAAATTATTAAAAAAAATGAAGTTTTTTTTCTGAAACTCAGTCAGATAATCATCATTTTTATTCTTATCATAACTGTCCATTTTATCAATTCCATACAAAATTAAAATATTTCCATTTTGCAGGTTTAAATGGATGAGACAAGAATAGTTATTGAACATAGAGAAATGTGGATGCCTGGTCATCTCTGCCCTATTGTTTAGCATAACAAGACTTGATTGTTTTTTCTTCTGGATCGAATCCTGATTCCGGTTTTAATAGAAACTCGGTCAGAGGCTTCAATCTGATTTCTGGAACGAGACGCTTTCTATAAAACTTACAAAATACAGTAAAAAAAATAAAATAAAATAAAATAAAATCTTACATAGAAATTATTTAAATGAAAATAAATTTTACACTATTTACATCATTCGAAATGTTGTCCTCATCTTTATTGTCATATTCGCGACGCTTCGGTTGCTGAACGCCCCGACCTTCTTCAGGTGATATACACTGGAATTCCAAACCGAACCCTTTATTTAGTCCACGGAGGTAGATTGTTCTAATTCAAAGTGTGATGCCTTTTTTGGAATATCTCATTTTCAGTTAATTCCCTTAGTAACTCAACTCTTTAAGTTTTTGTTCCCTCTGTTGTGGCCAGGTAGTAAACTCAATTGTTTGGGTCAAGTCACTATATGGATTACTTAACCAATGCTTGTCGTTGGAGACATTATAAATCCCAATTCTTGGCATTTATAAACATAATATCACAGTAATCATTTTTTTTACCAGAGCTCATATTACAATTTCTGTTATTATTGTTTTTCTCTAGCTCTCTGTATTATTTGTTCTCATATTGTATTCATGTCTATGCTTGACCGGCTTAGGAGATTTTTGTAGCCTTCCATATGCGCTGATCCAATACGTTATCATTTTCCAGTGATATTCTCTATTATTTCAACTTTATCTCACAGAGTGTGATGATTTTCCTTTTTCCACCATATATGGTCAGCTATGACTGACTTTTTTTCGATATATATGCTATAAATAGTTACGATACCTCATCTCAGAAATAAAAAATATTGAAAAAAAATTTGCATTTTTTAAAAATCATTCAAAATCAGATTTTTTTGTTCTTATCATGGGTGTTCATTTTACCAATTTTATACTTTTTTTTTTAATTATTTCATACCCATCAAGGTGATAATTATTTCATACCCATCAAGGTGATAATTATTTCATACCCATCAAAGTGATAATGACCATAAAAGGCAGATGGTCACTGGAAAGAAAATGAGAGGAGAAATGACAATAAAAAACAAAAAATTCCAGAAGACAGAAGGCAAATGATAAAAGAGGACAAAACGAATCGACAAAGAAAGATTTTCCTGCTGTCTTTATATATATATATATATATATATATATATATATATACAAGTATATAATTGGTATATACGGAATGAATTCCAATAACCGACAATTACTATACTTAAAAGAGTGCTCAATACAAAGTAGAGTAGATACAATTTTTTTATTTTATAGCATAAATATGTTATGAAATCACTACAAAAATAGCCATTTTGTTTCAACACCCCTGGTGTCTTATCAAGTGATGATGTTGAATGCAAATTCAACATCATCGTTTTGATAAGACATCAGGTGTTGAAACAAAATGGCTATTTTGTAGTGATTTCATAACATATTTATGTTATAAAAAAAAAAAATTATATATATATATATATATATATATAACATACAAGTGTGTGCGTGCATGTGCGTGTATTTTTTTGTTTTTATAGGAATAGGCAGATACACAAACACGTCACGCACACACACGTGTGTGTGTGTATGTGTGTGTATTAGATCTTTAAAAAAGTTCGTACCCGATTAGAAAATTAAAAACGAAATTTTACAAACTGACAAAAAACATTTATTAGACAAGTACATAGTCTTTTTTTTTGCTTTTAACAACTGCCTACCCACTTTTTACAAGTTTGTTGGTACAATTTTTTAGATACTTTGTTTTTTTTGTTGAAAGACGTATATGGAATAGATTTCAACTGACTGTAATTTTTTTTCGTCATTTAAATTGATCTGAAGAGATAAGAAGAAATGAAAATCCGAAGTAACCAAATCAGGAGAATATGGAATATATATATATATATATATATATATATATATATATATATATATATATATATATATTAGAGACACTAGAGAAAGAATAATTTAAAAAAAAAACAGTGCTAGCTCCTGCTTTTAACCCATCGCTCTTCAGTTATGAATTGAGCACTATTGGCTACTGGCGTTTCTATACATCACGTATATAATACGTTAAAAAAATGTCCCTTTCTCTGCCGTGCACCGATAGCTTTGGGGTAAAAACTGATCGATGGCAAATCGATCGAGTTTCGATTCCAGCTTGAAGCAATCGGATGTCTTGCCACACTGATGATATGTGATACAGCGAAACAGTCTTGCATGCGGATATATCAAATATGTGGTGCAGTTTAATTTATATTACAATGGATCATTCCTACAAAAAGTAAATTAGTAAAGTTAATGATATAAAATGGCGAAATCTCTTAGCAAACTAAATTTTAAAGATGCATTAACCCACAAATCACTTGATGAATGATACGATCCTTGTTTTTTAAAGTTATAAACTGTATTAGGTCTTCCTTAAATATGCAAGTAGCTTCGAAGGGTCCTATGGTCATCCTCAGGTATGGAAACTATTTTGTTTTTGGTGAAATTCAGGTAGCATCCGAGACGAAAAGATATAATGCAAATCGAAATACGTTTTTTGAAATGTGTTATTGATAATAAATACAAACTTGTGGGGTGTACAGTCGCAATACTAAGGTTGAATTTTTGAAAATTTAAGTGAGAGAGGCAATTTAAAAATTTCTTTGTTGCAGGAGTTTAACAGTCAACGTGGCATGAAGTAAATAGTTCAATAAGTAGAACAATGTCTCAGTTGTTATCCCGAAAATTTGCACGTCAGATCAGTTACAAAAATACAAAAAAGTACAATACAAAATAAATTTCGTCTTGGATGCTACCGGAATTTTACCAAAAACAGTTTCCATGCCTGATGATGACCGAAGGACCTGTCGAAAGTACTTACATATTTAAGGAAGACCTAATACAGTTTATAATTTAAAAAAAGAAACCAAAATCATAACATTCATCGAGTGATTAGTGGGTTAATGCACCATATATTTGACTTAAAAGGACTGATTACTTTACTTTCACTAAATCAATGAATGTCAAAAGAAGGTTTTCAATTTTTATTCAGTAATTATCAACGTGTAATATTCCGATGACAACCCGTTGATTTCATTAAAAATGATATTCTTTTCACTTACCTTTCATCTCTTTTTTCCTCATCTTGACGGTCTTAAGCGGTCGACTCAAGGCGCCATAGACAACAAAGTTCAAAAGCAATCCACTTATTAATAAAAATGTTCCTCTCATACCATAAAAGGAAATGCTTCGTTCTAGTAAATAATTGAAAGAAAATGCACCAAATCCAATTCCACTTTGAGAGATTCCTACGGCCAAAGTTCGTTTCTTCTTAAAATAAGATCCAACGATGGTGTTGCCGGCAAAATTTGATATTCCAGCAAAACTCCCTGAAAGAACGAATGAAAAACCTAACAAAGGTGAGCTAAGCTAGAGAGCAGGCGAATCAGTGAACAGGTTTGTTGCTATTCAAAAAATATCATAAAACATATTTGTCCATTTATAAAATAAATCGAGGGAATTTCCTTGAATTAACGAACATACTTCATTTGAATTATTATAATACAGTTAAGTTCTATATACTTGAAACTTATCATTTGTCTTCTACAATGTGTCCCTATATATATATATATATATATATATATATATATATATATATATATATATATATATATATATATAAATTTAAAAGAAAAAACAGGCCACTTTCAGGTACCATTATAATAATTTATTTCACCTGTCCTTTTAAAAGGACGCCGGATCATCAGATAGCACTTCCAACAACGAAATGAAACGAAATATATAATATATATATATATATATATATATATATATATATATATATATATATATATATGGGAAAATTGTATGACAAAGTGAAAATAGTTTACTTGTGATGAGTTTTGTCCTTCAAGATTTCATTGGACAAAATTTATTATGTTTGTGTGACTACAAGACAGAGGGTTGCTGGGAATTTTTGATTTTTTTATCTAGCCGAATTCATTTTATATTTCTAATTTATCAACTGCACAATATAGTAGAGTTTCATTTGGGCACCATCTGTGACAAAAAGAACATAATGACACAATTCAATCCACCAGAAATTTGGAAATGGCTAAACTGCTTGGCATTTGCACCAGAAGCTCCCATCCGAACACTTCAGGATGTTTGGGTGTCAATCTGAGGACAATGCAAAGTATTCAGAAAAAATTGGATGATTCGAATTATGATTACGAATGTACGGCAGCTCGAAAAACCCACTATGCACGTTTTAAGAAAAAGGACTACCGAATTTGTTGGTGAGGGCTTCAGAATCAACACGGAGGTCTACATTAAATGCACTGAAGAGGTGGTGATGCCCTGGGTCAAAAGGATGGCTGCTGGAAGATCCTCTCTCTGGCAACAGGACTCTAAACCATGCTACACAAGCAGTTGAACCCAGTCATGGTTGTCAATTTCTGCGACCACATCACATTTGGTCACCTAACTCCCCAGACTGCAATCCCCGCTTGATTATTATGTGTGTGGGGGGGCGCAGTTAAACGAGTGACCAAGAAAACTTTCAAAGATGAAACGAAGGCAAGGATTATGGGAGCATTCACCAATTTAAACAAAGAGACCGTTCAAAAGAGTTGCAGGAGATTCCGAAGTTATCTGGAGGCCATGATTAAAGCCAATGTCGTTTTATTGAATATTTACTTTTTTTGTATTGTATTTTGTATTTTTGTAACTACTCTGGCGTGCAAATTTTCGGGATAACAATTGAGACATCGTTCTACTTATTGAACTATTTAGTTCATGCCACGTTGACTGTTAAACTCCTACTTAAATTGCCATATTAGTAAAAAAACGCTCTCACTTAAATTTTCAAAAATCCAACTTTAGCATTGCGACTGTACACTCCACAAGTTTGTATCTGTTATCCATAACACATTTAAAAAAAAACATATTTCGATTTATTTAATTTAAGATATTTTTTTGTGTAATTTTAGTAAATATATTTGTTAAAATTAGATGCCAGTGTCATTTTCATTACAACGTAATTTAGACAATTTATTCATTGCAACCGGTAAAATAAAAATATTTTGATATTCGAAAATATTTCGGTAAATTAATTTGACATAAAAAATACAATTCGCTGAACATTGTAGCTTCATTTTTTATAATCAATTTGGATTATCTGTCTATATTTCTGAGATGAGGTATTATGTACATTATTTACATTATTCGGACTATTGTCTTCATATGGCGATAAAGATGAGGACAATAGACCGAATAATGTAAATAATGTCAATTAAGATTATTTCTTTAATATGAATATTTTGGTGATTAATGACACTAGATTTTATTTATTTATTTTTGGTGGGGATTCCATTACTAGTTTTGCTAATCAAGTTTAGCTATTTAATTAGATTAAATATTTAATATTAATAGATCATTTCTTTGTAATCTGTATTGGTTTTGTACTTTTCAAAAGCATGAATATAATTTTAAATGAAAAAAAAAATAGTTTTCTCTTGATCTACAGCGAATGATACTAATTGCGTGGAAGGGCATCGAGTTAATAATGCTGCAAGGAAACGGTTTAACCACAATTAGGATCGACCCCAATCAGAAATTAAAGAATTTCTAAAGTCAATTCGAATAACGAGGAGAGTGACGGAATATTAAGAAAATTTTGTATGATTTCGGTTATTGACTATATAAAAATGAAAGTGAACATTTGTTAATATAAATATTTATGAAGTATATTGAGTATATATGACTGAATAGGGACAGTAATTCAGTTGAAACTGTGCAAATATGAATTGTTAGTATAAGAAAAGAATATAAGTAGAGACAAGGAAGAAACCCATTCAATAGAATATGTATATCTTTACATAGAAAGAGAGATACAATATACAAATATATTGGGAAGAATATTGCTAAGATTTTCAAGGATATCGAGAAAAGTGCTGGAATGGACAGAAGTTTTGCTTTCACTTTAATGACAACGACCAGATGCTAAAATTGGGGGGGCGATAATCGATTAGAATAAAAGATATACATGTTCTTACCCGAAAGAATCCCATGCGTAACATAAAGAACTTCAACTTTCCCAGCAAAAAAACTTCCAATTGTTGCCAGAGCAGAAATGAATCCTCCGCAAATGATAACTTGTCGATGGCTTGCATTAAACATCATTAGAAGCAACACAAATGGACCTGGTTAATGAAAACTTTTCGAGTCAAGAATAAAAATGTTTCAAACTGATATATTTAATTTTAATGCGATCACTTTGACAGTTTTTGATGTGAACTATAGTATGATATCTACCGAAGCATTTACGACCTAACTTAAATGACAATCTACTCATTATTGTTGGAAAATGTTAAAAAAAAAATAATGACCTGTTTACTGTTTTTTTAAATAACGTCAAAATCAGTTTACAAATTTTAAGATCATTATTTGATGATTTTGTTTTTTCTCTATAATTTTTTAAATACATAACGAGTTCAGTGTTCACTGCCTTTAACCCTAAGCCTAACCCTAAACCTTAACACTAACGCTATTTCATACGCCCAACAGTTGGTAAATATCATACCATAGTAGAAAATAAATAGTAGATATCATACTATAGTAAAAAAAAAAAAATGAACGGTACAAACTCAAAAGGAAATATATTCAATCCCGGGAGTTCTGGAAAATCTCCGACCAAATTTTCAACAGAGGCAAAGTGTCAGTGCCTACTATAATAAATGGCCCTGGGATCATCTCATCCTCGTCAGATCAGACAAATCTCTTTACTACGATCCTTACCTCGAACTCCACATTCAGGCCATTGCCTTTCCAACTTCCCCCTCTGACGGAGCACAATCTTAGTAATATTTTTATCACAACATGGGAAGTCTAAGGACTTATCAAAAGGTTTGACCCGAAGAAGGCTAACGGTCCAAATAAAATCCTAGCGGTTTTCCTTAAGAATATCGACAATCTTAGCAAAACTATTTAGCCGATGTTTAAAGGAGAACTGTTTCCTAAGTCTGTGGAAAATGTCAAGTGCATGTCATATTTTAACGAATGCAAGTGATTACTCATATCTTAGTGTAGATCCATCAACCCCCTCAGTTATCATTAGCAAGCATTTTGAAACTATAATCAATAGGAGCAACGTCTTGAGCGACAAGCAGTACAGATTTCGATCGGCTCGGTCCAATGCTGATATCCTGTCATTAGTCAGAGAGGAATCAGAGAGGCACTAAACAATAAATACATGTTAAGGACGATCGCTTTAGATATTTCAAATGCCTTTCACAAGGTGTAGCATAGAAGGTTGCTGCATAAGTTCTCCAGCTATAGAATCACTGAAGAATTTTCTGAATTATGTCCTTCCTCGTGTGTAGGTCCCTTCTTTCTACTTTACATAAATGATCTGCCACATGTTATACAAATGTGAATATCAATGTTGGCGAGACAGCGGTATATAGCTCAATGTGTTGATGGTGAACTGGCTGGTCACATTCAATGTCCCAAAAACCAAACTAGTGACGTTCCATCATCACCGAGCGGACTTTAAATTATCACCTATCACAATGAACGGGTGCCCCTCTTAGAGAGGGTCCCGTGCCTTGGGCGCCTATACGGATTTAAGCTCAACATAGAACTCAAGTAAAACTCGTACATATGATCCATCGCTAAAGATGCTGGATAAATAGCCTGTTTCCTGTGTACCCTTTTTCCTGCTATCCTCTACAGTCCTAAAATGGGGGACTGGTACAGAGGGGACATTATTTTTTTTTAAATCAATTTGCAAACTTACCAACGCATAGCATGATTCCGCTGAAAATAGAACCAACCATAGCTGTTTTCGAAATAGTGTCGTCATAAAGGTCAATCAGTCCAAGGAGGAGAATGCCATTTGAGAATGTCAGTCCTCCAATTGTAAAATTAATCATGAATCCAGCAAAACAAACAACCCAACCCCAACCACCATCTGGAATCAGAAGGGCGTCTCCATCGTCGGGTTCTGTTTCTGATTCAAATTCATTTGCTGGCCTTTCAAGGTTATTTCTTTGTGTCGGTCCCATTCTGAGAAAAGAAACATTAAACTTTATGGTCTTATAGATTTAAATTTACCAAAGTTGATAACCAGATTTCTTAAATAACACACACATATGCACAAAAGGATATGTTATATGCTACAACATAATTGTCTCTTTTATTATATTCCAGGTACCAACATGGTGAGAACAACGAAGAAAACTAGGATAAATGGAAAATTAAATTAAAAAGTAGAGTACGAAAAACGGGTTGACTTTTTTTTATATATGAAGAAAAAAATTATTTTACAGTTCACCTTTAAGAGTATTACAACGTGTCGATATAATTTCGATAAATTTCAACCAGTCAATCATATTAATAGCATATCAAATTAAAATGAAATTAAGATTAATTGTAAAATGTGTTGTGTGTTAGGACAAATATTACCTCTGACCTGTCTGTCCGACTAACAACTACTCTTTTGGGAAATCTTGTCTAAGAGAAATATTTCGAAATTTAGCTATGAATTAAAATTATTCGAATCCCTTCATTCACAGAAATATCAGCAAATATAAAAAAAATCATTATTAATTCGTCTTAGACAATGAAATAACCCTTTTGTGATTTATAAAAACAGGTTTTTATATACCTTCAATTTTTCTTTCAAATATTTGCTGAATATCTTACCGGGATGACTCTTAAAAGAAACGATATATCCAAGGAGTAATCTAGTTTTGAATTTCTTAAAATTAGGTTCTCAAGAAACAGACTATGGTTTTCTTATGAATAAAACTTTTGTCTCATGCTGAAATTATTGTCACTTTTGTTTTGGACAGAAGGATCGAAATCCAGTTGAATTACGTATTCTTTCTGGAGATCAAGAAGGAAATTATCTTATTGATAAATTATCTTATTGATAAATTATCTTATTGATAAATTATCTTATTGATAAATTATCTTATTGATAAATTATCTTATTGATAAATCAATTGTCATTTCTGCTATCTATTCTTTAAAGTCATTTTAAAATTAAGTCTGTCTTCCTAGGTTTAACAAAACAGGTTCTAGTGGGAGGATATAAGGTTATATTTCCTTAATAATTCGCAGACTCTTGTTAACATTAGCTGATAAGAAATAATGAGTTATTTTAAAATCAGAATCCCCAAAATACCGATATGCGTGGGGTATGGAATTAATGACAATCTGCATATCAGAAATAATAGTTAACAATAAGTAGTTAATCTTGGAATGACCAATTCTCTTGATAATAAAAAGGTAGCAGGGATAAAAGCTCATTACAACAGATCAGGATGCTGGGCCGCTCCCATCCTTGATTGACCATGTCTTTATCAGTGTAGCCGTACTCTCCCTGTTTGGCCAGTTACGGGTTGGTTAGGATATAGTTCGAGATTTTGAATTTAGTGTTGACCTTCTCCTAGACACGTTGCCACCCAAATCTATAGGATGCATAGCCTGTCCTGCCATTTAACTCATATCTGAGGAAAGAAGAAATGGGTTTCTGCATGTAAGTTTCCGCGACTAGAATTCTTATTTATTTTAAATAATAAAAAAATTCATAAATAATTTATCAAATAAAATAATGAATAATAAGTAAATTAATAAAACAATTCAACAACAATAGCACTTGCTCATTTTCGTTTAATATGGATTAAATGACATCACTTAGCAACGTCCATAGGTTACCTTGACTTTCACAGCAAGCTTTTAAAATATTTTCGAGCGTTCTTAAATTGAAAAATATATATGCGGTCAATAGCTAAAGGCAAAGCGGGGTTGCCAAAGGCAAAGAAAGGCGCCAACTTATCCAAAATGAAGTCCGTGCGGGCGTAGAAGAAGCACGATACTGTAGAATGGTCGGTGGGTGGTGGTCGGTACCATTGGCACCACGCCCAAGCCCTTAAAGTAATTGCAAACGAGGTAACTAAAGCTATAAGGGCTAATAACCATCAACCAGGGAAAAAATTGAATCAAATTAATTTCATCAAAGCTGGAGTAAAGATATTATTATTATTATTGTTATTATTATTATTATTTATTATAGTGGCAAATGAGAGAAAGATGTCCAAATACCAAGATCTTGTCAAACAATGTCGGCGTAAGTCATGGAGAATATATTATGATTCGGTAGAGGTTGTTCGTGGTGCTTTGCAGAACAATCTTTGTGCAGAGCCCTAGCAAAAATAGGTATAGTGGGGACAGTGAAGGCGAGAGCGCTGAAGAACATTACCAATGCAGTTTGAACTGCTTTCAAGTGGATTTGGCTTAAGAGATCAGAGCCCTGGAAGAACTAGTGACAAAAAAAAAGTGGGAAAAAAAAAAAAAAAAACCTTCAAAGTCCCAAACATACTTAAGGGAACGGAGGGGAGGGGTTTCAGTCTATAACGTAATATTGAGACAATAGCAATTCAGGGGGTAGTTCAACAGTGATGGATAGGAATTGAGCACATGTCGGGGGTGTTCTCCAATGGATGAAAATTTTTCATTTTCTCATTTTCGTTTTTAATTTTTTATTTTTTACTTTTCGGTTGCCGATTGCCATTTATGCTTGTGTATTTGCGTTTTTTTTTTATTTCCATTTCCATACTTAATTCTTATGAATGTAAAGTCAGATCGTAGTAATCATAGTTTGAAAATTGTTGAGTGTCGATTCTAGTATTAATTGACTAGATTCGTTTCGAATAGTATTTAACATATAGTAAATGTGAATATGTTACTTAATTGAGTAGTTAACGTATTTTTTACTTATTTAGCTTTCTCTTCTTTTTTTTTAGTAAGATTAGGACATCGAATTATTTTAATCGATAGATCACAAAACTAGTAAAGAATTTTAAATAAACAGTACGAGATAATTTTGTAATGAACGGTTTTGTAAAAGTAAATTAATGTAAATGGGAGATAGGATTGATATATGTATGTATGTATGTGTGTGTGTGTGTGTGTGTGTGTGTGTGTGTGTCCGTCCTTGCATGTGCGTGAGAGTATATTTATATGTAGAGACGTGAACGTACACACATTTTTTTTTAATTTCGTTTAAGAGTATAAGGTCAGACTTTAGGATTTATATAATAGAAGAATAATGATTTTTTTATAAGCGGTAATAGAAGTAGTAAGTAAGGTTTAGTTATCGAATTATGGGATTG